AACCGAGGTCTAAGGCTTCCTGGGTCTCTTCAAAGTGATCAGTGTCACTGTTTGGCGCATCATCAATTCTCTGTGCTAGCCTGGGTGAGAGTTGTGTCTTTGTATAAACTGTCTGCCTGACACATCCCACATGAATCATCATGTCTTAGCTTCTCCTGCCTTGCTCATCTCAGAACTGATGGCAGAAATACCACGTGACCTTCCAGGGATCACTGTCGAACTCAGGCCTCATGTACACTTCACCGGTATTCAGAAAGCCCTGAAGAGCCTGGGGTTGGGTGGACTTACACCTCTCCACATTTATGAGCACAGAAGGCCCAGATGGGGGACTACATGGCCATCCTTACACCACTGCCAATTATCCTCCCGCACCCACCTTAGAGTACCACTGCCTCAGACACCTGCAAGGGTTTGGTGCCTACAACAGGCAAGATGCCCCATAGCTGGGAGGCTTGAATACACACACATTTTCAACTCCAGAGATGAGGCTCCATGGACCCACCACTGTGGCCATACTATGCCATGTACAGCGTGGTCTGAGCACATCACTGTTTCATCCATCTTTCTGATGACATGAGACTTCCCCAGATGTGATAGACTTCACCTCTTCATGCCCAAGCTTCTCCATCTGTCAGAAGGGAGAGTGACACTTGCTCAGAGAGCTACAGTAATCAATGGGCTTACATGCACATCACTGTGGAAATGATGCCCAGGCAACCATAAACCAGAAGCGGTGGTAACCAGCATCAGTAGAGAATCTCCTATAAGTGATGGCAAATGGGACCTCCTTCACAAATCAGCCTCACCCACTCAGAGGGACAGCAGCACTTCCAGGTTCACAGGTGTTATAAACAGGCACAGCATGGGCTTGCCTGTCTCTTTTTGAAGACTGGATTCCCCCTCTACCACACCAGGCTTTAGATTCCCCAAAGACTTCCCACAACACTTTAAACACAGTAGGCCCTCAGGGAACATCTGTGGGACAGGAATTAAGCTGGGAGGTGAACAGGCACCTGAGGTACACAGCCTCTCGGGACTCCGTTTGAGGATACCTGTGAGAGCCCAGGCGCAGAAAGTGCTCGAGAACACAACTCCTCGAATCTGGCTGTGGACAAACTGAAGGCGATTCAGGTAGAGATCCCTGGGCGGGGCACTGCGGGGAGGTTAGATACACAGTAGTCCCCTTCAAATGTTCACCACAGGGCAGGCAGCAAGCTTTAACTTGCTTTCCCAACTTTCTCAACAGCTGTCATCAAATAGGGTCTGTGAGGCCTCCAGTTAAAGACCTTTGACTGAGCTACTTAGAGACAAAATTCTTGCAGTCTAGGGATTTACAGCTGACAGTTGCCCCCCAAAGCAGCAACCCACTAGGGAGAGAGAACTGGGCAATAGGTGTGGTGATCTAGGGAGAAAGTAGAAGTTCTTTCAATAACTCCAGATTAAGAAACCAGCAAAGAGGGGGAGTGACAGGAGCAGGGGACTCAGGGACCACTATGGCTCACTTCTCAGGGGTACAGTGACAAAGGCTGTCTGTCATCCAGATGCCCTGTCACTGGTTCTGGTTGGCTGTGAGGTTGTTTCTGTCAGGATGACTAAAGTATCTACTACCTCCATATCCAAATGCACAAACACAAAAACAAGGCTGTTCACTAAATGATCATAGAGAGAATAAAGTGCCACTAAATCGCCAGGGTACGCTTGACACCAGAAAAAAACAAAGAAAACAAACAAACAAACAAAAAAAAAACAACACAAAAACGGGAGATAGGACCATTAGCAGAGAGTCCCCACACTCCCTGCCAGTATATGATTTGGAAGAAAGCCTCCTCATTCAGGGGGAAATTTTTTTTTGTAGAAGCCAGGATGGTAAATTACAGACCATCTCAGGCCATCCTGGGCTTTGAGTTTCTCTGGAGCTATTCCTATCACCACCAATAGGCCACTATAGCCTACCCATACTCAGAGTGACTCTGCTCAAAAGGGAGGTATGGAACCACACTGGAAAAGCCCATTTCAAATAAGTCATTAGCTTCTTATGGATTTGGGGGGAGGGTTAATAAGGAATAGGACCAAGGAGTCCCATCTTCTGAAGAGTAAAAAAGGGGTGTTTGAAGAGTTAGGAGCAAATAGGAAGGAAAGCAGGATCTGGAAATAACAGGAACCAGCAGCCTCATCGACGGTGCTGGACATACCAAGGCCAACCAGGAAGCCCTTTGGTTGGGTCCTTTGTTGCTAGACTGGATGGGAAAATGGAGGACCCACAAGAGACCCTGGCCCTGCTTCTCCAACATTTAGATAGAGAATGTCAGCTGCCTGGGAGAAAAAAAAAGTCAAAGACAAAGAGGAGTATCTCAAACATCCTGACTTGCGTGGGGTCTCGTGTCCCAGTAAGCCATGATGGGGACCATTGTGGACAGGTGAGATAATGCATCAGATGGCTGTAGCTTTGGAGGGATCAACAGCCATCGGCACCAACATGAGAAGCCTGAGTTCTGTAGCCTGGCAAGTTTGGGCTCACCCCCGTTTAGCTATTCTGATGTATGAAGCAGACAGCTCGGGCCTGGGATGACTGTCTCCCTCAGCCCCTCTCAGGCAGGCAATGAAAGCAAGATCCACTTTGAAAATTCTCCCCCATCATGCAAACTGACATGGGCATGCTTTTCAAAAACCCACAGCCAATCTGTTGATCATTACTTATTTACAAAGGCCTTCAGGCAGAAAGTCCTGTAAAAACCATACTTGATACGGTATACACTAGCTTTTTCTGCTTATGGAAAAAAGTCCCCCCAAGGCTACCTCAAACCATCACTTTCTATTGCACATAAAATGTAGCACGTAACACTAAAGTATTTAATATATATGGTATAATATATCTACAGGAAAGGCATTTGTGTAGAAGTATGTTACCCTGGATTTGGTAATTTGATGTTTTGCTGAAGGCTACGACTTAAAAAAGCCTCCACCTCTTACAGGAGACCTGTCATCTTGGTACCCAAGAGCCAGCAGAATAAAGAAGTACCCTTAAGCAGCAAACTTTGACACAGCTTTGAAGCATATGAAAACAGTGTAACTCCTCAGAATTATTATTACTCGAGATCAAAGCAACCAGTCATACTTTACATAGCAAACAGGGACAGGGAATTTGGCTCCCAAGGTTTCACATTTTTCAGATTCCTCTTTATTTATTTATTTGCCTCTCTAAATTTAGGCAAAAGAAAGCACTCAGGCTTTTCTTTCCTTTAAATGGAGAAAACTATTAGCATTAGATAAGCCGATTACCTAAAGGTGAGTAAATAGGACTTAAATGCTAGGCTGACAACTGGCATCATAAAACCCAGGGGCTTGGCAGTTGGTGCATTTTATTCCTTCTCGTAAACTGTAAACATGCATGTAAATCAGGAGCACCCTAGCAAGGCTGCACCGGGCAGGCACCTGTGACAAGGGAGAGAGAAAGGGCCAGGTGGATCTGCCACTGGGAATCCATGTCCCCATCTGTGTCCCAGATAGGTGGACATAGGTGAGATGGGAATGCAGTGGAGAAGTGGAGAGTGGAAGAACAAATACTCCATTCCAGTAAAAAAGGAGAGGGCTCTATGTCCATGAAAGAGGAGAATAATGTTAGGGAGGAAGGTATTCTTCCAGAAGAGGAAGGGTTTAGGATGAGCAGTACATGTCTGAAGTCTCAGTCTCTTTCCTCCCTCTCTACACAATACACACACACACACACACACACACACACACACACACACACACACACACACACACACACACACACACACACACACACACACACACACACACACACACACTTTTACATACTCGTGGTCCAGGGTGACTGATCAGCAAGCCCCAAGAATCTACCTGTCTCCTTCTCTCCAGTCTTAGGATTACCCCATGAGTCTCTGTACCTGCTTCCTTCTCAGCAACCATGGGTTTTGGGTATCAAACTCACGTCTTTATGTCTGTACAGGGAAACACTCAACCCTTTGAACTATCTCCATGCCCAGAAGTCATTCCTTTTCATTAAACTATGGGAGCGTTAACATGTCTGAGAAAATGGATTGGTGGGATTGGGAGACACTCAAAGAAACAAAGGTGACAGAAGAAGAATTTGCCCAAGCAGGAACTTGTGCAGTTGTACTGAGACTGTGTTTCATTTGCTATTTATTAGATGATGTCATGGTTTAGAAAGGGGGAGGGATGAGAAGGATAAATAGACCCAGAAAGAGAGGAAGGAAGGAAGGAAGGAAGGAAGGAAAGAAGGAAGGAAGGAAGGAAGGAAGGAGGGAAAAGGGGAAGTAAGAAGAGGGAAAGGAAGAAGAGAGGGAGAGAGGGAGGGAGGGAGGGAAGGAAGGAAGGAAGGAAGGAAGGAAGGAAGGAAGGAAGGAAGGACAAGCAGTTCCATACTTAATATTGCTTTTAACCTGAGCAGAACTGGATTAGTTTTGAACTTTGCTTTGGCAAGCCCACGGATTATTAAACTTTTTTTTTCTCAGTCAAAATCAATTAACAGAAATTTGATTTCCATCGACAGGATAAAAGGAAGGTAATCTTCAGGTTCATTTTTGATTGTGATGATACATCTCACATATGGCCTTAAGTACAGAAACCAGTCCTCAGAGGGACTCCAGCAGAAAGAGTCTTGCCGCAGGCAAACTAACCACAGAGTCCCTCTGATTGGTTCCCGGCGTCATTAGTGCCACTGCTGTTTAGTAACTACACACAGACAGGACATGGTGACAGCTAAGACTTTAAAGCCTATGTATTTTTCAAACAGCTTTTCAAACTGTTTTTCGTGACAGACTTTTTTCAGCTCTATCATTAACTGCTGACAAGCTGACAGAATAAATACTCCAGCCTTTAAGAAGCCATCTAACGATCTCTCCCCTCCCCCAACAGAGATGCCTGGGAGGAAGGTCTGGGCCTGGGCTTAGGCAGGTGGGGAGGCCTGAGAAGGAGCCGGGAAGGTGACCACGCTGGGGTTGCAGGGGATCTCTTACCTCATCAGCTTCGGGGAGGAGTTGGGTGAGTTCCTCATACCCCCATTACGTTGTTTTTTTTTGGGTGACAGCGTTGGCGGCTGCTCATCTTCAACTGCAAATACAGGCAGCTTGTGAGATTATGAACAGTTTGAGGGCAGACTGGGAAACACAGGCAAGATGTCAAAGGACACACATTCAAGGCTCAGTCACTCACTAGAGTCAGGGCTGTCTTTAGAGGCCCAGTGACAAAGACAGGATGCGTTAGTGAGAGAGGCCAGCTGAGAGGAGAGTGAAGCAATATTGCTCTATGCAGCAACCCTTGGGCATGCACTGTAAACAGACTAGAACCACCTAGAAATGTGCTGGTGTAAGAGAGAATGAGAAACAGTGATTTATCTCCATATAAAAATACAGATCATTATTCTTAAGAGTTGATTTTGGTTAAGAGTTAATACTTTGCTTGGTTGAATAATCAAATGAATTTTTTTTTGTATTTTGTATTTGAGGTAGCAGATTAGCAGCTAGTCTTCTGCTTCTCCAAAGGAACCAGTAAAAATGATTCCCAATCCTTGCACCCACAGCAAGAGCCTTGAAGAGAGGCAGGGACCCCAGGCCTTGGCTGCCCAGGTCCACTCACACGGCTCACAGGCGGGAATACTAGTGCATGTGGGCTCAAGAGTCCCCAGCCCAGCTCAGCTCTCTTCCTTGCAGCTGCCACCAGGGAGAGTACATGGGGCTGGAGAAGAGCATTGGAATGAAGGAGGAGGTTGTCACTGGATGATACCTCTTAATGATGCAGTGGCCGATGGGGGATGGAGGGCAGCAGAGAGGGCCTGGAAACCATAAACTTGCTTTCCAAGTGTCTAAACCACACAGATCACTAAGCAATGTGAAGCTTTATTCACAGACAACACAACACACTGCGCTCTGCTGCTTTTGCCCAAAGAGACCCACTAATAAGCATTAGAGATGGGTTAGCCTGCACCATGCTGGTTTTTCAAGAACACTGCTGGATAATTAGCAGATACTTGCCTAGCCTGTCACCCATGGGCATGTGCAAAACAACTCTAGCCCTACTCTCCCCACCCTCACACAGTCCAGGAAACAAGTGTAATATCCAGAAGGAAATATAGGAGCCTGGGATTCTCAGAGCTGATTGTCATACGACCAGGAGGAAGTAACCTTGAAATTCAGAATGTATGGAAGTTATCTTAAAGCCAAGAAGAGAAATATTAGTAGTGACAACATCAAGAGAAGCTTGGTGTATGTTAGTATGTTTGAGCCTCTCAGTTGCCTACTATTGTCCAGAAGACCCATAACAGAACATGCACCCTACAGCATTTCTCTAAAGACCCTAAATAAACATAGGCAGTTAGGACACACAGTACCAATGGGATTCAAACAGTCTAACCGACCTCCAAATTTGCTTCAGAACGACACATTTCTTAAGCTGAGCGTCTGTCCTACTGTCAGTTTGGGGTTACCTCATTTTGACTGACCCCAAGGCACGAGGAAAACGGTGTGACAGGTGAGAGGTACAGCAGATGGAGCCAAGGCCAGAAAGGACCTGCAAACGTTCACAACCCATTCCCTCTCCCACCTGCTCCCCCTTCTCTCCCACCCTAGGCTCCACTCAGCCTGAGACCCTATCAGTCACTTAGTGCTCCAGGCTGGGGCTATGTGGCTGGGAGGATATCGCATCTTATCAGAAATGAGTATCCACAGCAAATCACACTGAGACTAAACAGCACTTAAAAGATTAAAGGAAATAAATACAAGCCACATAAATGGTATTGAAAAAAAATCACTTAGACTTGATATGCATCTCTCAGCCAGCAAACAGGCACTCTGAGTGTGACCTGAATTCATCTTCCTTTCAGAGGACAGGGGGCAGGCATCCAAAGCAATCCAAGGCAGGCTAAAGTGTGAGTGTGTGTATGTGCTCACACACATGCCTAAGTATGCTTTTACATTTTCCCACCTTAGGCTGGAGAAGGGAGTCTTACATGGATTCTCTGCATAATCCAAGGTCACTTTAATATGGACCACTGTTATACTGCAACAGGGTGACCTGGATGGTTGCTAGCACACTACTAAAGTGAATTTTTATTTCTGAGTGCATGAGTATGTTTATTGGAGGGTACAAATTGTTCCTCTCCTTTCAAAAGCTTACAGAGCAACACCCCAACAGGTTTTTGATCTAGCCTAGTCCACAGTGGCTAGCTTTACTCAAGACCACTACATGTTGCCATGAGTGTGGCCAATTATGGAGTCCCTGTTAGTCACTTTCACTGGCTTTTCTGCTGGATTCTTTGCTTAACTTTTCCTCCCCCATTAGCTCTGGGCCGCCAATAAAGCATCCTCTTGGATTAAGCATCCATATTCCTTTCACCTAGTCACTGCTGTTTGCTGGCATGGCTCTTCAGATGGGAGATCTGCAAGTTAATATGTGCTAGCCAGCTCTGGGGAGACACCTCATTGTGGAAGGAGTATTGTGCCTGCTTCTATGCAAGGCAACTATTTATTTTCATTGCGACTCTGAGAGATCATCCATCATAATCATAGTGCATTTAAACTGGGATTTGTTCACTTCAATGGAACCATGTTCAAAGCTTTATTCAGAGCCTGGAAATCTGCTCCCCGAAGAGCTGGGATGGATAATGTCCTCAGCTTAAATATATGAATGCTGTGCAATGGAGAATGTTACACATGGCTTAGGTCTCACAAGAGGAGCAGGGATAAATTCTCCTTACTAAGTAGGACATAAAACATACTTAATTATGATCCTTTCTATGGGTTCTACCAATTTCTGCATATTTAAAGAAAGCAGATCTAGAAGAACTTCTAGTCGAGCTCTAAGATAGAATTCTTGTTTCATGGCTTCTATGACTACATGAGAGAAATAAAAATAGAATAAAATTTAGTCACATTCATGAAAGACAAACACGGTGAAGTAACAAACCACTACCTCAGGAGCACACAGAGCCACAGCCTTGTATTTAACCTGCTCTGGCTAATCGCAATATACCTTCCTTGCATTTCTGCTTGCCTCTATGTGGGGTGAGCTGCACAAAGATGTGTTCCTTTAGAGAAACCTGAGTTACCAGCTTCTTTAAAATACAAACAAGTTTGGGAATCTAATGTGGAATTTTTATAGGAGGCAAACTCTCTCCAGTCTCCAAGTCCTCATAAAATTCAAGGGCTTGTTTTTGCACATCTCTAAGTATAACACTTAATGTTCTGTTGTAACTTCCCAGTGCTCTCTTGTCTAATAGGCCCCGAATCTAACAGTTTTACAGTTTGGGGAGAAGAGTCAGCGTTAGAAAAATGTCAGGCTGGTCTAATGAGGCTTCAGATCCCCTGGTTTGTGCTGGAGTTTAATTTAAACTTACAATGATGTTTTAACATGTTTGCATTTTCTTGACTAAAGAGGATTCATTATTTTAGTGACATAACCTCCAGACAATGCTCTGGGAATTGATTTAAGATGTGGCGGTAATTCCAACAGCCTTAATGCAGAACTGAACATCTGTAACAACATTTCATTCCACTTCTCATCAGCATTCTGTTTTTAAGCAAGAGCAAAGAAACATCTTCCAGAAACACTGGCCAGGGGCCTGGGCTTACTTCAAAATGATCACATAATTTACTGAAAAAATTTTTAAAGAAATCCCTGACTTTGTATTCCTCTCTAAGCTACAAATATTAGGAATGTTCCACGATGTCTTTCATAGGAGTCCTTGAAAGGGGCAATGACTATGATTTTCAGTTTGCCCAAGGAGCCTGATACCTGCATGGGATGAATCCAGCAGTCCCCTCTAGCCTGGGGCATTTCCCTCTTCCCTGTTTTCCTCATGAGATTTAGGAGGGGGTGGGGGGGATGAAGCTCTGAGATTTAAAGGTGGGTTTGTTGGCTGGGGTTAAAAAATAGCTCAAAGCAAATAAACTCAGAAAAGCAATAAAAGGCAACAACTCATAAACATGAGTCAAACAGCTATCTCCATTACGTTATTAATCACCACATCTGGAGTAACCCACATCTGCACACACTTAGCAGATCATTAGTAATGTCATATTCACACTGGAGTCACTCAGAATAAAAGGCATGCATAGTGGCTTGAACACAAAGGCATCAAGGTGAAGGGGCTTCCTACTGAAGTCAGGGCACAAGCTGCTAGTTGGAGAGTGCGTCATTGTTTTACTGATTATTGTTCGGGTTTCATTTTTATTTTTTTATGGCTTTTCTGTTTTAAATTTTGTGGCCCAAACAAGCTAAATGCATGCTGAACGCTACAGTAGTGCCCTCTCTTCTTCAACGGAGCTTATCACGTTACAGTGAAACTCTGAGGGGTGCCAGGCAATTATTCAACATTGGGACAAAGCCCAGCACTCCTTCACCTGGCTTGGGCACACGTCGAGAACTGGGAGCTGCATTGTTGTGCACAGTTGGGTCTTTGTGATAGCGTGCTCTAGCTTCAGACTTGACTGCCAAGCAATAAGGAGAGAAGAAAATTGAAATTAATCCCTAGTGAAATTGTTCATTACAAAAGTTACCAACTGGTTTTAACACTAAACACAACCATCATTTTGTATTTGAATGGTGGCTTCTCCCTCATGGCTGAAGAGGAGGGTCTTTTCTTTCTCTTTCCCTCCATTGACTTGTGAAAATGCAGAAGACAATCAATTTTCTTTGTGCAGAAATCTCCAAACATATACAGAATTCCTTTTCTCCACTACAACACACATAAACACACGCATCAAAACCAGTTTCACAGCAGGATCAGGGCTATTGGTTCCTGAGAAGTGCTACAGAGAGTCCTGCTCTAGTCTTTATCCTTCAATGTTACACTCTGCTTCTCACCCCAGACTGCTGGCTTGGTCGGCCACCTTGGTTTTGACAGCACTGCTTAACTTGATCTAAATCTAAATTCCATGCGTCAGACATTTCTCTGAGAGTGCAGTGTTGGGAATTTGGGGTACAGTTCAAAGGTAGAGTGCTTGCTTAGCATGTGCGATGTCCTGGGTTCTGTCCCCAGCACCACCTGCTCAACAAAAATGACAAAAAGAGAAAGAATATAATGTTATGTGTCATATTTCTCTGTGGCAAAGGTG